ATACACGAAAGAGGGCCTAGGCCCTCCCCCAAATGATGTGACAGACTTTTTTGTTTTGGTTTGGTTTGGTTTTTTGAGGCAGGGTTTCTCTGTGGCTTTGGAGGCTGTCCTGGCACTCACTCTGTAGACCAGGCTGGTCTCGAACTCACAGAGATCCTCCTGCCTCTGCCTCCCAGTGCCGGAATTAAAGGCATGTACCACCACCGCCTGGTGATGTGATGGATTTTGATGGTCCCCCGTGAAGAGCCTCACTTTCCTTAGGGAGTGGGTGGGGAGTGGGTTGGGGGTATCAGTGGGGGGCGTGGGAGGATGGGAGGGCGAGGGAATGGGGGACTGATATGTAAAATAAGCTTGTTTCTAAAATAAAATTAATTTTTTTAAAAAAAATTCAATTCTAAGGCCACAGTGGCTGCTCAACAGCAGAGGCAGTAGTAACAGGTGTGGAAGACACATGTAATTCTGGCATCAAAGCCAAATTAAGACAGCCCAAAGCAACAGGAGCAAAGGTGCAGAAATCCTAAATAAAAATCAGCCAGTCTAACTCAAAGGTAGATGAGAGAATTTGTCTTGCCCAGGATGGACAGACTCCCTCCACAGTCTGCCACATAAAGGCCAGTGCTAGCTGTAGGCCTGCAGCTGCATACCCTCAGCAGCTCCCAGCAAGCAAGCTGTATGCCTGCTCCCACCCTCTTCATGCCAGCTGTACTAACAATGTAATGACACAAATATGACCAAAAAAACCTATAAAATTTGAACCTAATTCTTTCAGCTATTTTTAAAGGTACAAACAAATGGCATGAAGATAACAGACAGATCTTAAGTTTTCAAAGAACTCTACACTCTGATGTTTTGTAGCATCATTACACTCTCCTCAAACATTAGTAAACTAAAGGCTAAAGATCACAGATACTACATGTTGGGTGTGGTTTTAAGTGAAAAGATAACAGTCCTCCATACATCACTTCCAGAACCAAAGGGAGCTCGATTTGTGTCAGATGACTGGAAAATGAGATGCACACTGGTGGGAAGTCTGCTTGTCGGTGTTTAACATGCAGGAGCTTGAAGGTCCAGTCTAACCAACTTGTCCAACCAGCCAGCTGACCTCCTGTTTGTCTTGGGGAAGATGGTTCCAGCCTGAGTAAGCTATGAACCCTTGACAGACAGCAAAGCTTGGGTTTACCTTAGGAACCTGGGGCTGCTGTGCTTTATATTATCAGAGCAATGTATAGTATCATCTTGATAAACACCAAATAACAATGCTAGGACTAAACACATAGACTGTTGTAGGAGCTGGCAGTGTAGCTCGGAGTTACAGAACTTGCCTAGCATGTGCAGGCCCTGGGCTTAACTCCTGACACAGAAGAGAGGAAAGGAGAGAAGGGGAGAGAAGGGGGAAAGGGGGAGGGGGATTTCCTATTGAGAATTCTAGTCACAAAAAGAAAGACATTCCACTGAGAATGGTAATAAATGCTACAAAATACCTAGGAATAAATTAAATGACCTGACCTATAGATAGCAAGC